GGCGGCAGCGATGTGGAGGAGAGCTTGCAGGCCAGGTGTGATGGGGAAGGACCAGAAGGGCTCCTGGAGGCATTTGGGGTGCGACATTTTGCTAGGTGGGGACCCATATGTCAGGCTGAGCACCCAGCCTCGGGGGCTGCCCGCACCGCCCGGCACCATGGTGTAAAACCACCTCGACAGATGCATTTTAACGCATTCACAAATAAAGGAGCAAAGCAGGAGCAGGGGCTCGTCAGCCCCCCTGCCAGCATTGCAACCCGGCCAGCCCGGCCCAGCCGACCTCCCGGGGTGATGCAGGGCTCAGCTGGTGGCTCGGGGCAGTGTCCCCAGCTCGGAGCATCCCGCAGCTTTCCCCTCTCCTCCAAGGGGGCAGGTACCACCGCAGCGCTGAGGCATGTTCCCGAGTTAGGGGCTTCACTGGGCTGGTCACAGTGCCGTGGAACTGGTTGGGGATTTTCCACGGGATGGTTTCCAGCACATCCTGGCACATTCAAAAATCAGCGGTTTCCCATGGGGAAATTTCTGCTTCGTGGGCTTAGAGAGGGAAACCAGGATGAAGCGCCACACCTCTGCTCTGCTGCGGCAGCCGCTCACGGTGGGAAACGGCATTCTTGCCCCGGCGAGATGCTCCCGGTGCCGGCTGGGGTGGGGGCATCCCGGCAGGGGCAAGGCAGGGTGGGCAGCACAGCTCTCCCCCACCCAGACCCCAAAGGGGAGCAGCGTCCTGTGGGGGCTCTGAGCAGAAAGGCCCAGTCTTGAGTTTTAAGGGACTGTGATGGTCTGCTGGGGGGCACACGGGGTGTCTCCGAGCCTGGCTGGCAGGAGGGGACGTGCTGAGTGCCAGGGTGCTGTACCCACCATGCTCCTTTGCCATCTCATCGGCTGTCACCCATCCTGACACCCAGGCAAGCTAGGGGTTTGAGGAGCCACACACCCACTGGTAGCACTATGACGGGGCTTCGTGGGGGGGCAGAGATGGGGAGGGTACGGCGTGGGCTGCCCTTTGGGGCACGGGCCCTTGGCACATCCCTGCACCTCCCAGACAAGGGGAGGGCATCTATCCCGAGCAGGGGACATGGAGCTGGGGAAAATTTGCTCCTGTGGCAGCCCTGGCAGAGCTGAGCAAGTGAGGGGCTGCTCCGATCCCCCCCGGCAACGCAGGTGTGCAGGAGGGGATGGGGTGAGGGGCA